GTGAGCCTGTTCGCGTAGGAGGTTAGATCCATGTCCATCGAAGAGGATGAAGGATCCACGAACCCTCCTGGAAGTCGAAGGGTCGTACCATAAACGAGTTGAGATGCAGTGTATCGAATGTCAAATTTCACTGCATTGCGTATGCCTAGTAAGACGAGTGGAAGAGGTGATAGTGACGCTTTTAGTTGTCGGTGAAAACGTTCTACTAACCCGTTTGCTTGTGGGTGGTAGGCCGTCGTTCGAAAGCGAGTGATTCCTAGTTTCATGGTCAGACAACGGAACAGTTCAGATTCAAACTGACGTCCACGATCTGTAGTAATGGTTGTTGGGCAGCCGAAGTTTGCTACCCACCTCTCGACGAAGGCGCGGGCCACTGTTTCAGCAGTAATATCTTCGATGGGTACTGCTTCTGGCGATCGAGTAAAACGGTCTACGCATGTTAAAAGATAAGAATATCCATTTGAATCTGGTAAAGGTCCTACCAAATCCAAATGAACATGGTCGAAGCGAGCATCGGGAGTTTTAAACGAGCCTAAGGGACATTTGTTATGCCTAATAACCTTAGATTTCTGGCAACTTACACAGGAGCGTGCACACTCCCTCACGTCTTTATTCATACCAGGCTAGCAAAACCGTTCTGCTATAAGCTTGATGGTTACACGAACACCTGTATGCGAAAGTCTGTGCAACGTATCGAAGACGTTGCGTCGATATTGTTTCGGCACGATTTGGCGATCCCTACCTGTAGATGTGTCACAAAGTAAGGTTTCCTTACCTGTTCCCATCTGTTTGATGCGCAGTTTAAGTGTTGTTGAGGACAATTCGTGCTGAAGATCACTGTCTTCTTTTTGCAGCTAAGCGAGTTTTAAAAGTTCGATTCCTTGGAAACTGTTCAAGGAATTTATACGAGACAAGGCTTCTGCAACTACATTGTTTCTTCAGAAATGTGTCGAATATCCAAAGTAAACTGCGAAATATAGTCCAGTTTCGAGACTCACGTGGTGAGTACTTGTTCGAAGAAGAGCTTAAGGAGAAGGTAAGTGGTTTATGGTCGGTAAAAATGGTAAATTCACGGCCTTCGATGTAGTGTTGAAAATGCCGGACAGCACAATACATAGCTGGGAGTTCCCTACCGAGTGTGCTGTACCTCGATTCAGTGTCTAGCAACCGTATAGAGAAAAATGCCAAAGGTTGCCAGGAGTGGTTAACTCATTGTTGTAAGACTGCTCCGATTGCTGAGTCGGATGCGTCTACTGCGATGCTAATGGGCGCTTTAGGGTCCTGATGAGCAAGCATTGCTGCTCGGGCGATATGTTCCTAAACCGTGGAGAATGCTTTTCGGGTAGTGTCATCTAGATTAATGGATTTCGCATTTCCACGAAGTTGGTCGGTAAGGGGTTTCATAAGTAACGCGCATTTCGGTATGAATCGTCTATAAAAACTTACCAGACCGTTAAACGTGCGCAATTGCCTGATGGTGGTCGGTTCTGGGTAATCCAGAATGGCCGCCACTTTGGTTCTAAGAGGTCGAATGCCATGCGCATCTATGGTGTGTCCTAAGAAGTCTAAGGATTCGGTTCCGACTTGGCATTTCTGAATGTTTACGGTAATGCCATTTTTTCGTAGTCGGTCGAAAACAAAGTCCAGATACTGGAGATGTGATTCTCTGTCCAGACTTGCTATTCGACAGTCATCAACGTATGCATGTACGAAGTTGAGACCTCGAAAAACGTCATCTATGAACCTTTGGAAAGTCTGTGCCGCGTTTCTCAGACCGAAAGGCATTCGCAAAAATGCATAGAGTCCGAAGGGCGTTATAATAGCGGTTTTTGGAATGTCTTCAGTGGCCATAGGAATTTGGTTATAAGCTTTTACCAAGTAGGTTTTTGAAAAGACAGTTGCACCTTTCAAGGTAGCTGTCAACTCGTGAATGTGGAGCAACGGGTAACGATCGGGAATGGTTTTTGCATTCAATCTCCGATAGTCACCAGTTGGACGCCAATCGTTGCTGTCCTTTTTAGGGACCATGTGCAACGGAGATGCCCATGGGCTATTTGACGGTCGTATGATTCCTAATTTAATCATATGGTCGAATTCGTATTTCGCCAAACTTAACTTTTCGGGGGCCAGCCGGCGTGCTTTTGAGAAGACAGGTGGTCCTGTAGTCGTGATGTGATGTGTAACATTGCTGGTTACACATGACAATTTCGGTTGCGATTGGTAAATGCCAGAATATTTATCGAGTAGTGGTTGGTAGAAGGGGTCTATAGTGTGCTTAATAGTGACTGGAGATAACCTGCAACCAGAAAAAGAATTCAGGCAAACAGATAAATTAGTGTTTCCGTCTACTAACCTCCGTTTGCGCGTATTGATAATTAAGTTGTGATGTTGTAGAAGGTCCATACCAATGATTGGCATAGAAACATCTGCAACAACAAAGATCCAGTGAATGGGTTTGCGTAAACCCACGTTAAGATAAACATACCTTTGGCCATAAGTAGCGATAGGCTTTCTGTTTGCCGCCTGTAGATTTAAAACGGGCTCGTGTAGCCGGTCGTCGGAATTCGCTGGGAGAACGCTAACCTCTGCGCCAGTATCTACGATAAAGCGAACTCTCGTTATCACATCAGTGACATAAAAGACGGCTATGTTCGCCGGCTACGGTCGCCGTTAACGCGTGCCGGCTTGAGAGTTTCCCGAAACGTTCTTCGCGCCGACGGATTTCGCGTTGGGAAAATTGCAGGGTTTTCTGCAATTTCTGACGGACTTTCCGTACTGGTTATGGTACCGGCACCAATCAGGATTATCCGTCTCTGGAGTCCTAGATACAGATCGCCTATGTGATGTGCTTCTCCGCGGGGTAAGTGATCGTTTACGGTCGTTACAGAGTTTGAGATAACGCGTAAGTGTATGACATAACTGTGTTATATCATTCTGGGTCGTTTGAGGCCTTTCTTTCACTGAAAAAACCTCGGCGTTAGAAGATCTAGTGATTTCGAGAATGCGATCGGCAGATGCAGCTAGCTCGTCTACGGCGTTGTTTTGGAACGAGACCAAGACAGCTTGCACCTGTTGAGGAAGTTTGGATAAGAAAGGTTGTTTGAATAGGCCGTCATCGAAGGTTCTTTGGCCAATGACTTCTCGCATTCTTTGCAACATATCTGTGGCAGAACCGTGTTGCAGGTCGATGTTGTTGAGGAGTTGGTCTAACCTTTGTCGATCGGTTAGATCTCTGCGTTTAAGGATGGCATGTTTCAGGGTTTGGTATATATCAGAAACATCACTAGTAAACATACTAGGTGTTACGTACCTGTTAAATTCGCGCGGTAGTGCCTGGACTACTGCGAGGAATTGTGTACGCGCATCGTTCACACCGTGCTCGAAGAAGTCGGCTTCTGCATAACAAAACCAGGCTTCGATGTTGTCTGGCCAGAAAGGCATAAGTTGGAAAGACGGTGGGGACACAGTCTTTAACTTAAATACTTTAGGGGTCTGTTCAGTCATAGTAATATATCAAGTACGAAAAGTGAACGAGTGGGAAATATATATATATAAACCCAAAAACACGGGGAAAAAATATCACAATGTTAAAAAAAATTAAAATAAGACAATGATATATAAAATCACAAAAAGGAACAGACTCACAGTTTACAATATGGTGTACCAGATCACGTCGGGCTCACCAATGAAGATGCCACAGGTATTCGGAGTTTGACAACGCTTTAACCAGTAACACCTTCTAATACGAAGCGCACCCACCAAGCAAAATCAAAAGACAGAAGTGAGGAGATCGAAGATATATTTGATAAGCTGCCAATATATCGAGGATCGTTTGCACTAATCAGGCTAGCGATTGCGGCAGATGTTGAGCACGGCGTTCCCACACGTGATCTGGTGCGGATGCTTGACCGAGCGCCTTCAGCTAGATGAGTCCACTAAAACTGTGGTCAGCATCCAATGTCGAAAACTTACAGAGCTATTTGGTTTTGGGGAATTATTTACCGCTACACTGTTGAGCGAAAGCTTCTTCTATTCCGTCCACAACCATTTGAACCATTTGGACATTATGAACAGGTGCATGTGGTAGTGGTGGTGCACTATTTTCTTGTACATAATCTTAATAATATATTCCCGCGATAACACTATTGTGCTATACAGTCATCAAAGTAGCCTTAGAACCCCCATACGACAAAAGATTAGTTGAATATTAACTGAGATATTTGACTTAGATGTGATTTGGAAAGTTAAGCCTTTCCCGTTCAACTGCAGTAGGTCTCCAACGATCGACACAGATCACATACCCCGTGAATAACATTTTAGGGAATGACCAATAGCCCTCAGTACGCTAATAGTCATTGAGTGGCCCATTTTTTTAATAAATAGAAATCCTGTATTTTAAGAATCTCTCCGCAATATTTGTATTTAGGCCTCCGAAGTGGCTTTTTTATTCACCCTTGGGACGTCCCAGAGTATTTCAATCATTTAGGAGTTAATGAGGAAACACTGTCTTTTCTTAATCAAGGTCAGGTCTAATAAAAATGATGTAAATTAAGTAGAAATCTCCACCGTCGATTTAAGTAATAATGAGCTAAAAAGTTATCAGTTCAAGTTTTACTCTAGAGGGTTTGTTTACACAGCTTGGATCAAGATCATGCCCAATACAATAACAAATTGAGTAATATCTACAGCCAGATATTCCCACAACACGACAGAACCTAAGTTTTGTATTAGTAACGGAATAACCAAGAAGTCGCTCATTAACAAAGAATCTGAATCCAGCAGTTTAGGATCGCTGTATGAAATATTGATAGTTTAAAACAAGAAATCTAGAATAATTTAGGATCATCCATAAATGTAATATTAATTTTTCGGAAGGGTTACAAAGTAACAATTCAGCCACGAGAGTTCATATATAATTGCCTTTACCTCCAATCCCTAAAAAAATTAATCAATAGGATTTCGATCAGATACTCGGCTCAATTTCCAACTGACAACTGCACGTAGGTCTGTTGTTTTGTTCAGTGTTGTCTCGCTTAGTGTTTAATGATGCCTCCATTATGCAAAATGATATCGGAATCACAAGTTGAATTCAAAGACAAAAGGCATTAGCTGAAAGGATAGATTTCTCATTGTCTCCTCTTCATTCTCGTGTATGGATATGTACCCAATTCCAAGTCTGGAGAAACTCTGAGGATGCGATTAAAACCTTCAAAGTTTGATCTGTCTTGGGCTTCTACCAAAAACTGCGGAGTATTTTGCGGGAAATTCACTAAACCTTTAGGTTCCCACAAATATTTCCCCAGATTGAAGAAACCTGTGAATTCTCAGAGGATTTCGGGAAAAACCATAAAAGTCCCCTATAATCATGAAGCTGATTATAAGTTAATTTGAACAGAAGGTTATATGCAAATATCTAGTCAGCTTTTGGCTGTTAATATGTATATATGTACTACAACCTTATTACACTAAAATTAAAATAAATCCCCATACTCATATAACATATTAGTTAGTCCAGCTTATATACTTGTTTCCATTCATCGTTTAGATGCCCAATCCACCTGTTTGCTACTACTATCAAGCTGGTTGTTGTAGAAACGGGAATGAATGCACCTTTACCCACCCGAAGATACGTTGTCGTACTTTTACCTCTGACGGTTGGTGTCCTTATGGATACAATTGTCGTTTTTGGCATGATCCGTCTGTGAAACCGGGCGTTGTCAACCTAATCAAAAAGCCGTGTCAATTCTTTGCAAATAATCAATGTAAATATGGTGATAAGTGCAGTTTCTCCCATGATATTAATGTTCAAAACAATAGTGGGATAACGTTGGAAGAATATCGAGCCACAAAAAAGCTGACAGGCGTGTACATTGATATCGAAGCTCAGGAATCTACAACTACCGAAATGTCACACGGCAAACAGAATGGTATTCCCGACGCATCACTTACGTCGGTTGTAAAATCTAATCTAATCACAACTTCGTCATCTACATGCCTTAACAAAAATAAATTTAACATTGTAAGACCGCCCTTCCGGAAATCTGCTTCTGTAAACGCGATTGATTTTCAAGGAGCTTCAGAGGCTGAAATTTGTGATCTGAATCATTCCGAGCTGGAACGCCTAAAAAAGCAATTTCCTTCAGGCAAATTACGTGAAGTAGAATCAAATGAGAACTATCATATGTTTTGTGTCATATTCTCCTCCACAGATCCCGACTGGGTTAGTCATTTTGTTAACGGTAAATGTAAATCAAACTTAACTGGTCACAGCAACAAATACATTAGTTTAGTTATTTCAGATTTGGGATTATTTTAGCATTTCAACTCACTTGGTCAAGAATGTTCCTTTACAAACAACCCGAAATCTCGTGCTTCCGACCACATGCTGATCCGTACAGTTGGTCCAAGAAATCTTGTCTTTTGTGTCAAGAGGTTTAGATAAATGGATACATGTAATAATAAGTGCTGAGCATCTTATATACTTGTGGGGGTACTGGGGTGTCTACTTATTTCGGAAATTGCTACATGGCTTAAACTTGCTAATCTTTGACTTTTTCCACCATCAAATATCAATCTTAGGACTGTGCTTTAAAATATACTCCATGATAGTCACAAATAAAAGCGTAACTACAAGACTAAGTAAATTACTGTTGTAGAGCAATATAACAGATTATTGTTTCTAGTACTAATAAGAGTAATTAAGAGGCAAAATACTGTCCAATATAAGGATAAGAGCTCCTCCCTTTTTATTTAAACCAGAGCATACTTCAATCTGATAATATCGGAGGTCTTACAATTTCTATATTGAAAGTTCACAAATTCTGTCTCTTATTTCGCATTAATTACTCAAGGTAATATCACGGTTGTTTTATTCATTTCCTGAGTACTGCTGTATACAATATATGCGATCTATGCCTCTTCCCGATTAACTTATTTTTATTTTCAGAATATATTTTACTGTCACCTCACTATTTACTAAGTATATCATAAGATTTTTTTTTTACTTTGAGATTTTACCTGTTAGAGTTTTTTAAGAAACTTTTCAGTATGCTAACTTTATCCAATTAATAGTATTAAACGACTATGTATTTCTAAGATCAGAGTGATAAGTATGCAATAAAAATACTAAGTAGTTGGCATGTAAAATTCTTTCACATTCGTAGTTAGAAAAATGTTGGGCTATCTTTATCATAAAACACTTCTAGCATCTGATATATTCTTACGGCAAATGGCGTCTATAACGGAATTTTATGTGGGGTGAATGATTCCTCCCTCAACTAGTTATGCGAATGCGATGACTATAGTTAGTTCCGGACAAATCCAACCGTCATTAAATTTAGTAATGCGGTCTAAATCAAGTATTGTAAATCGTAGGAAGTGGCATTCGAAAAATGTTGTACAAGGAAAACCATCTTTTCTGAAAGTCGATATGACAACACTCAAAAATTTGTTAATATCATTGCTTTTTTGTCTTTGGCTGATCAAATGAATTATCTGTGAAAGAGTTCAGCCGGTGCACATGACCTAAACTTTCACTTTAACACGGGAAATAGATTCGTTTGTGGTCATTCAAAAGATTAATCTTATTTATATTCAGAACATTTAACGTGTTGTATTGTAGGTACAAGATAGTAACTAATGCAAAAATGGTCAATAATTTATTACATTGGATGTAGAATATTTTATGGCTTTGTATATGTAGTCTGCTTTCTGTTTAAATTTACCGCGTAGTCAACTGACGGTTATTCACAAAACCCAGTTTCTGACTTGAGCCTTGGAATAAGTGGATCTCAAGAGACTGCACAGTTGGTTGGGAAAAAAACTGTATTTGCTGAATATGATAACACTTATGTACACATACGTACAAGAAGATAATCGTAATTAAGGACCCTTTGAAACATTTTCGAATTCAGCCTTTAAGATCAAGACCTGACTGTCAGCGTCAGTTTACATCCGTCATATAATCTACATACTTTGAAACCGTCTACAGCCTGTTAATTACAGTCACTACAGTTTAGAATTGCAAACCTCCATGTGATATGCTTGTTTTCATCTGTATTTGGAAATGTTACACTTTAGACTGATAAATTCACTTGAATGTATACTAATGTGGTGTACCTATGTTTTCATAGTCAAAGCACCGGCTACAGCAAACCACCGGTTCCTTATCCCTAATCTAGATGGTTAATAATTTTAATCATTTGCTACTTACTAATTTACCTACTCGGCTTGAAGTTACATATTTTAAAGGCTAGTGATACTATTTGTTTCAAACGAAAACTGGTTGAGCATGGTTCAAACTTGTGGTTTTGTTTCTGAAGACCGAACAGTTTGATGTAGCCACTACTTTGTAATTCTACGTTCTATTGTTGTAACCTCCTCTTGAGGTCGTTCACGTAAAATGTGACCTGACAAAATAACTTACCATGACATCTGATATAATACTGTTTCTATTCGTCTTCTAGGTTTACGATGTTCGTGAGATAGTGTTAAATATTCTCATCCCACAAATGTATCCCAAGGAACAACTTCAAATTTCAGTGGTAATGCAAAAACATTTACCAGTGATCTTAGTTGCGTAAGTACTTATCTCTTTTTTTCAGTAATTTGCATCATTTCTAGTGACCGTATGCATTTATATCCATCCATATATTGTTTTTACGCAGCCATTTGAATAAAGCAATCAATTCTTGGGTTAGGCGTAAGCACCAATGTATGGAACGAATGAATCGTCTAGAGCTATACTTGCGTCCTCTCTTTTTGTGGCTTGATCGTAACTTGGAAGAATTATTCACTGAAGGATTACGTAAAGTAAGTTCGTTTTTGTGTTAATTACCAAACAGGTATTACTTTGCATAGTTGTTTCCGATGTCTTAAATTTAGATTATCTTTTAAGTCAAGTTATGGATAACATTAGTAGGAGAACTGTCATTTTACTGGTAAACCAATTAGTCGATTGGTTTCAATGAGTAAATTACGAATGAGTGCGTCAGAAGAAGGCCTAACATACTCAAATTTCTGTTTTTCCTTTGTAACCTTATTACTAATCTTTCTACTATCGGATTAGGAGCTGACTATCAGTTTTGTATTTTCTTTAATTTCTCACTTGAATATGAAATCTACTGGCTATATTAGCATTTTGTAACTTTTACCTCGAGATAGGTTTGAAGTTTATTTCCAACGATTTTGTAAAATCTTTATAGCATGCGGATAAAACAATCAATTTGGGCTATCAGGCTCAAAAAAACTAACCAGATTTCTGTCAATATCGATCAGACAAAATGTTGCTGCTGTTAATTACGTGTTAACAAGTGTTTTCAATGTAGATTAACTCATGTATAATGTGAAAAAATTGCTCACCAGCTCTGGGGTTGTCACTAAATCCGCTACCTTGACGTGGTGGTCGGGCTTGCCTATCGTGATGAAGCAACTGAGCTATACTGGCTGGAACAACCGTTCCTCAAGGTTCTACCATGCCAGACAGGTCGGTTGAAGAGCGGTAAGACTAAAAGCAACAAAACCAAGGTCCGAAGGCGAAGTCGTACTGCTGACTGTACAGAGGTGTGACAGCAGTAAGGTGTTTCCTTCAGACAACCAGCATGACAGCGATGCTGCCTTCCCAAAAGGAGAGGAGGGGTTAGAAAAGGTCGACCCTAAAAATGCACACCTCGCCTTGTCCCATGGATATCCGTCTCCGGCGGTAAGGTCTCAACAAGTACGGAGCTAAAAGAAAAATTACTCATAAAAAGGTCGTGTGTGACCGACCTCAAGCAGCTGTCCCTTGGGCACTGCGGTCACGCTCTCAGGTCACTATGACCACCTCTAACCCAATTTCCTTTTCAGGTACCTCCAGCAGAACCCTTCCACGGTGTGGGCAACCGGGAAGTGATAACCGCCCTCATACCTCTAACAGCACTCAAGATCACTGTATTCAAAATCAACCTCCCTCTTCAATTCCTATTATTCCTCCTACATCGACTTTATACACTTCCTCCTCAAGTGTCACTTCAGCCAACGATCCTTGACCTCACCCCGGCAAAACGGAGTGCCGACGAGATACACCCTCCGTGTATCTGGCGACCCGATGGCTAGTTCTCGTGGACTGGCAGGTGTAGGCATAGCACTTAGCATGAGGGCGGAACAAGCGCTATTAAAGTGGATCCCCGTTAATAGTCGTCTATGCGCTGTTCGGCTTAACGGCTCGGTAAGAACTCGGAAGGATAGGGACACACGTCGTTGCCTTTTCGTCGTTTCTGCTTACGCTCCCACTGACTGCAGTACGGATGAAGTGAAAGATGAATTTTACAGAAAGCTGTCTGAACTTCTTCAGAAAGCTAAACGTTCAGACATAGTACTCGTAGCAGGCGACTTTAATGCGACCAACAAGTTCCCATCGGCCACCAAAACATAGCTCTTCTGTGTCTAGACACCCGACCTGAGCATTCAAGTCTCCGGATAGTACTACAATATCTGTCGAACGCACTTTCTGGAGAAGAACAGTTAACTGGTGGTAGAACTCATCCTTGATTGCATCCGGACTGCAATCTGTCGGGGCATAGGCGGAGATGACGAAAAGGCATCGTTTCTCACGCCTATTTCTTCTCACTTTGATGGTACTTTCTAATCCAACGTCACATAACCGACTGTTAATGGGGATCCAATCGATTAGTGCTGCCTCAGCTCTAGCGCTTAGTGCGACACCAACGCCAGCAAGACCAGACGAAGATGCCACACGGTCCCCGGATAAACGCACGTAAAACAAGCTTTTTGAAGTGACAGATGGAGAGCGAATTTGTAGCACTTCGCTAGAGTCTTGAATACGGGTCTCGGATAGACAACAAACGTCAATATTAAGACTTTCCAAAGACATAGCCAGCCCTATCTGTTGTTCGACCTGCATAAGGGTGCGAACGTTGAAAGCAGCCAGTTTGAATGGTGCACGTGGTTTCAGAAAAACTTTCAGTATTCTTATTCGGTGGTAGCATTTAATTTTCGACCTGTCAGTAACTGGAGATCGTTTAGATAGAACCGAGTTTTCACCATGGGCTAGCTGCTGTATAAGTCAAAAAATAAGGATAGACAGAGTAGGAATAAACGAGAGAAAAAATGACGTGGTAAATAATAATAATAACAATATTAATAATAATGTGAATCGTTTGATTGTCAATCGAAGCAAGAAAAGTATTTTCCATAAATATCGACATTTCATCATATTTGTATGTGGGCTGTGATACTGCCCGGGTGCCCAAACCGAAGCAGGTGGTTTTCTCAGGGGGCCACACTCCGAGCCTTCGACCCAGAGGTCTGGTCCACAAGGCAGTGGAGCATCGGGAGGAGATGCAGTCCCATGGAAGCCGGTGACCGAAAATTGGTTCATAGGTCATTCGTTCCCGCAGAATACTGGAGCCCATGTGACCATTGGATTGGGTTCCGGTTAAAGTGCCAGACATTCGCTTTTCGTCCTCTCATTTTCGTAGACAACCGCCCTGCCACGAGAAGGCAGTGAGTAAGACTTCCCTGGCATAGGCTGTATACGCGTGGCCGTGTGAGAGCATTTCGAGAGAAAGGGTGGGCCCACCCCACTCTCGGCCATACCAGGGCATTTGTGGGCAGAACGAACTGCCACACAGTATACTCGTCCCTTTTTTGATAGACGGATATCCCGTCTTCGCCATATGTGACGTAGGTTGACAAAAACCAAACAAGCTTTTCGAATCCGTGCTGAGATTTCGTCAGACACCAACCCATTAGGGCTGATCAGACTTCCAAGACAGGTGAAGTTGTCAACGTGTTGGACAACTTCATTCCCTATCCTTAGTTCGTGTGTTGACGCAGGTCAGTCCTGGAGCAACAACTTGCATCCCAAACATTCTGGCATTGTTGCTCAGTGCTACCAAAAGACTCTGCATTTCATCAGCGTCTTCACCAAACTGGAATATTTCATCTGCGTTTTCTGAATCGATAAGTGGACCTCCTGGTAGGAGATCAGTCGACGAAACCATCATTTCTAGCAGTAGTTCTATGATGAAACTAAACAGAAATGGAGAAAGTGGACGGCCTTGATGGACACCACTTGAGGTTTCAAAAACTAATGACAATTCGCCATAAGCTCTGACTCAACTAGTAGTGTTCGAGTAAAGAGCCCTCGCAAGATTTATGTACTTCTGAGTACGCCTTTCAATGACAGACACTGCCACAGAACCTCGTGGTCTACAGAGTCAAACGCTGTTTTTAAGTCAAGAAAGACCACCATTGTCGGACGCCGATAAGCATGCCTGTGTTCTAAAACCTAACGAATTGTGTGGTCGATGCATCCAGGAACAGGTCTGGAGCCATCCTGATGGTGGAATGATATTAAAGTCACATAGTACCAGCTGAAAATATGTCAGTTGCCCGGTTTTTATACTGACAACGTATTTTCAATAAGACTCAAAATCAATGATTATAATCATTATTATTAGTTGTTTGTATTCACTTACTTAATCACCAGTATTTTCTATCCATCTCTGTCATGGGCAATCTTTTCCAGTTGCTATTCATCCTCTTCATGTCTGCTTCCAATTCCCGATGCAGTGTGTGCTTCGGCCTTCTATTTTTTCGTTTCCCTTCAGGATTCCAAGTTAACGCTTTCCTCGTAATGCAGTTTGATGATTTGCTCAATGTGTGTCCTATCCACTTCCATTGTCTTTCCCTAATTTCTTGTCCAGCTGGTAGCCGGTTTGTTCTCTCCTATAATAGACTGTTGCTGATGGTATCCGGTCAATAGATATTGAGTATCTTGCGTAGATAATTGTTTATAAGTACTTGTGCTTATTTGGTGCTAATTGCAGTAGTTCTCCAAGTCTCAGCTCCGTACAATAGAACTAACTGTCTTGACACTCGTATCGAAAATTCTGACTTTGATGTTGGTTGACAGTTGTTTTGAGTTCCATATGTTCTTCAACTGTAGGAATGCGACCCTTGTTTTGCCAATCCTCACCTTTACGTCTGCATCAGGTCAGGTACGTGAAAGAACACATCTCTTCCAGAGTTTCTCCATCAAGTGTGATTGGGTTGGTGTTCTCCGTGTCGTATTTGCGGATCTCGCTTTTTCCTTTGTGTATGTTGAAGTATAGTGATGCAGAGACTGTTGCTACACTAGTTGGCTTGACCCGCCTTTGTTGATGTGTATGGGATAGAAGGACCACGTCATCTTCGAAGTCCAAATCATCTAGTTTCATTCAACCTGTCCATTATATTCCGTGCTTCCCTTCAGATGTCGAGGTCTTAACAATCCAGTCAATCACCAGATGAAAGAGAAAGAGGGGAGTATTGTCTGACTCCAGTCCTCACTTGAAATGCGTCTGTCAGATGTCCTTCATACACCACTTTGCAGCGTCGTCCGTCGTACGAATTCCGTATGACGTTAAAGATCTCAGGTACTCCATAGTGTTGAAGAAGCTTCCATAATGTTCTCCTACCCAAACTTTCAAATGCTTTCTCATAATCAAGGGAATTGATGTATAGTGACGAGTTACATTCAATTGATTTAGTCTGTGCACAACCAATCCTTACGGAATCCAGCCTGTTGATCTCGAAGCTGGATGTCTACCGAATCTTCCATCCGGTTCAAGAACACTGTTGAAATTTTTCCCTGTTATCGACGGCAGTGTGATGCCTCTGTAGCTCAGTTCTCACATTTGCTCAGATGATAGCAACCGATGGTTAGAGACTCTGAATGACATGGCTCAGAATCGTTTGCAGTGGCGCAGGTGCATCCATTCTTTGTGTCCTCTCAAATTCTAATCTGAATTATCCTTGTTTCTACTTTTCTCTTTCTAAATTTGTTTCACTGTATTATACTCCTTAAATAACATCTTCAAACCCTAATCCTTCCGATTACTGCTTATACTCTTACCACCTCTACCACTACGGGATTTGAATCGACAACTGCATCTCTGTGCTAATGTGGTATGGCAAATCGAACTGATGTACATACGTACGAAGTTCCACGTTGTTACTGACTGACTGACTCTGTCATGTAGCTGTCTCATATTTCCTTCTCTTACAGCTTTTTCTGCTGTCGTTGCTCGGTTTTCCACGTAATTCTGCATGCTGTCTCTAAAGTTATTCACTTGCTTGTTTGTTTCAGCGTATTCAGCTTGTGCCTTAACTTTCTCTGCTCTTCGGCTATTGTTAGTTGCTGTCTTCTTGTTCATCCTTCCTTGAATTTTGTCCATGGTTCCCATAGAGATCCATTTTCTATGATGACGCTTGTTGCGATTCAGAACCTCCTGACACGTCGAAGCTAGTGCTCCTTTGGTCCCTTTCCTGTTATCCTTCATCGTAGTTTCTTCCTTGAATAGATCTTGTGAGGCTTACGACCTTTTGGTGAGAGCTGTCTTGAATTCGTTGAATTTGTTAACATCTCGAAGGACGTCTGTATTAAAACTTTATAATGCGGCTTGTCCGGTTGTCTAATGCTTCTCTAGCTTCAGTTTCATCTTGACAACCACCTGGTGATGATCTGAATCTATGTCAGCTCCTCTCTTGTTCCTCACGTGTTCGATTGACCTGAATTTTTTACTGATGTGAATATTATCTATCTGGTTCTCCGTGGTGTGATCTGGTGAGATCCATGTAGCTTTGTGTATGCGTTTGTATGGGAATATAGTGCCACCTACGACCAGTTTATTGAAAGCACATAGCTTTGCAAATCTTTCCCCGTTTTCCTTCCTCTCTCCCAGTCCATGTCGTCCCATGTTATCTTCATATCCAGTGTTGTCCATTCCGACTTTGGCGTTTGGATCTCCCATCACGATGGTGAGATCCTTTCTTCGGCACTTCGCTATGATTGATAGCAGACTCTCATAGAACTGATTCTTATGGTCGCCGTTGCCATCATTGGTGGGTGCATAACGTTGGATGACACTCACTGTAATTCCCTCCTTTTGTTTTGAAGGATGCTTTGATGATCCTGGGTCATTTTATAAGTGCATTTTGTGCTTTTTTGGACAGTATCAGAGGAACTCCCCGAATGTGTGGAGTATTTTTCTCTTCGTGACCGGAGTTTGTATATTATCACCATTGACTTAACCACTCCTATGAATCTGGTTTTCATCTTGCTGTGCTAATGCGGTATGGCAACTTGGACCGATGCATATATGTGCCTGGTCCTATGTTGTAGCTGACTGACTGACGTGTCCGGAGTACCGCAGCATTTCTCCCGAATTTATTCTTCACTGTCCAGCTTGGGTGCCATGGGTTTCGCTGATTCCAAGCACCGCCAAGTTGTATCTCTTCATTTTCGTTGCTATTTGACTGGTCCTTCCGGTCTCCCGCATTGCCCAGACGTTCCATGTACTTATAAAAACTGTTGCTCCGGTTGTAAGAGGGACATCAGCCTCATGACTTCCGAAGAATCTCGGCCTTCATCATGAGGCGCCATAAATCTTCCTTCAACCCACAGGACAGAGTTTTAATGGTTTAAGGTATTTAGTCTGGTTAGCGTTTTTCCTGGCAAGGTTCTTTTCTATAGGATGGAGTTGCCGACCACACGCCCAACTTTCTTCCTTTACCCGATCTTGAGACCGGCAGTAGCCCTGTAGTGAACGAGAACACAGGTGAGGACAATCGAATTTATTTGAACACACAATTACAGAATAACTTAGTAAAATCCGAGAACCATACAGTAAATACTTAATTCGCAAAATGTCAATCAATTGTCTCAGACGTCATTGTTCATTCGTTTCCACTGCGATCATTCTCTGTTCTCGTTCTCTTTTCTTCGATCTTCTTAACCTTATGCTGTCAGATATTCCACTTTCGATTCATGATACATACTAGTTATATCTATCGACATTATTAGCACACACGACAGCCATAGAAGAGCTACAGGCGGAGTTTAGTTTATGTTTAGCAATAAATAAAAAACGAAAATTGTTTTTACTGTCGTTTTACCATTTAATCCTAATTGCTTTATTAATGTGATAAAGAAACGTCATTAAAGTGTTGCTTTGTTTTTTTACTTAATGGCAAATTCAAATTGCTAATAATGATATCATCTATCAAATGCTCGAATTTTTTCAAATCAATAAGTCAGTGACCGTACGTTAACCGTCAACTGACGGATTAGTAGTCCAGAAACTTGCAAGTGCAATTCTACCCTCACATTGTGGCGATACATAAAATGGATGTATTTATTTTACTGTATATAAGTTTTTTTGGTTATATACAGAGGTGTTTCATGAAAGTATCGCTTATTGCATTTAAATCCAACTAATTTAACCGGTGTAACAGGTTTAGCTGTTCTTGCTTCATACAGTCCCATGAGCTATTTTGTTATGCTTTGTGTCTATGTTCTACAGTTCTACTCATATGTAGATGCTGTAGTGTTGAGCTTTGTACAAACATCGTCCGCAGAATCTTATTTTGTAACAAAATATTACTTTATCATAAATAGCTTGCAGTATATATTATGTATCATACTAGGTAGGTATCATTACGAAGGTTCAACTTGATAATTTCGAATAAATTGGTCTCACATAATATTCTTGTGTTGTTTCTTTGTACTATTTGAACTTGGATTAATTTTGATTTGGTGATTTATTTTCTGAAGAAATGGCTTACACTGAGTCACGAAACGTCAGAAAATTTATTTTTTCCACTCATTGGGATATTACAAATATATTAATTTATTTATATCATACTAGGTATTTATTTTAAAATTTCATATGAATGTGCTGATTCTTTTATTTTTTTATTGGATAATCACAACTGTTTTAACTATTTCTTTTTGTTTTCTCAAGTATAAAGCGTTTCTAGAAAATGGAAATTTGGATCCAGATTTGTCTTCATTGTTAATTAAAAATAGTGCTGATATTATTTCTCACTGCCAGTCAAGTAATAAGGATAATGGCAGAAATTTACTATCGAGTTATAATAATGCAACTGGTTTGACTCCTGTTGTGCTTGACAGGGAAATTTTAGATCTTAAATCATTCAACCTTAATTCATATTCTGACAGTAATCTATCAGATGTTGAAAGTGATAAAACCCTATTTGAAAGTGAAATACCTAGCAGAAGTAGAGCTTATAATAACTTTCTAACCCATTCAAATGAAGGAATTGTACCTAAAATATGTAACTTAACAAACGAGAATGATTTTCCAACTGACTCACTATTAGATCATGACAGTATGATTGGTTTAATTCCCCCTGTTGTACCGAAAGACGAATCAGAAGAAACACACAATGGTGATCAAAGTTCACTTAACGGGAACCAATTGTCGATTGGGAGTGATAATAGTGTTAGTTCACAAACCAGTGAATCGGTGTTAGAATTTAGCAGCACTGATGAGAATGGTCATGATCCTGGTAGTAAGTGTGAAGATGTTGGCGATTCGCAAATGTCATGTGGAAATCTTCATGGTTCTTCTTCACTAACAACTCCCGGTACCCAGAAATTATTAATGAGCGGTCTTAGGCTACTGGGTAAAGCAGGAACATATATACAACGTCGACTTACTGTTTCTCTACATTGTACGCGTTGTCGCTTATCTTTCCAGTGGCTTTTCACTTTTCATGGGGCGCGAGCTATGAATAATTTTAATGATCCAAATACAGCGTGTAAACTTTTACGTTCACTCCCACCATACACAACTCATTGTGCACGTTGCCATCAAAAATTCAGTTTACTTTTCCAGTCTAGTTTAGCCCATGCATTCGACAACAATGTTGGAACTCTACATTTAGATGGTTGTATTGCTGACGATGTTCCACCGAAACAGTCTGATGGTATTATTTTATGTACTGGATGCTTCAATTCAGTGCGAGTCACCGTAAGTTTTTTGTGCGGATTTTTTGTTGGTCATTATGTTTATCACATGAATAGCTTGTAAATTTGGACACAACAAAATAGCATGTGCTATGGAATAGTTCTCAACATAACGCTTTGGAACACTGAAAGGAAGTACTTTTCTTGAACTCATTAGATTGGTTCAGAGGTTATTTTAACACTAAATATTTGTTGCAAGGTTTTTATTTTGACAAAAATAATCTGATTGTAATAATTAAAAAAGTAGAAAATCAAACTTCTAGTGTTCCGCGACTTAGTGTAACTTATTTCATCAGAAAACGAATAACCTTTTGCAAACTGATGTATGTTTAATTAGTACAAAGGAAAAGCATTAAAAATTCAATATATGCATGTTGGACCAAAACATAACATGTTGTCCAGACTAAAGATGAGGCAGATTTTTATGTATTTATGTGTATGCGAGTAGGTGTGAAAGTGAATACATGTAGTGTGAACTACTTTTCAGTTCCTATGTACTACCCCTTCAGGCGTGGAATTCGCAAAACTATACACACTAATAGTAGTCAACTCACTTACCAGTGAATAGTTTCAAGAAGTGGTTTCTAGAGTCTTGATGAGAAGCAGCGACTAGAGGAGCTCAATCGTGTAGGGAGCAAGGCAGTTATCCACCAATCCAATTTGACTTTGGTTGCGCAATATCGCAAATTGACTTAACTTAGCGAAACATACCACTGGATATCAACTCAGTGGTATGAAGGCTAGGTGGTCGTCCCGTTACCTAAAGATCCTAGTGAGATCGTAGTTGTGTACTATTGAGGAGTCTGAAAACGCCCTCGTTTGGCTAAGGGCGGGGAGAACCCATTCTTCCTCTTGAAATGCTTTCATATGGTCACGTATGTATCAGTACTGCCAGGGAAGTCCTACTCACTGCCTTCTCGAGGCGAGGGTGTTGTTAACAAAATTTAAAAGAAGAAAAGTAAATGTCCGTCTCTTAAACCTGATTGATGGGTACGCAGGATTCACCTAAGGGAGTTTGAAAACCCCTGATTCCAAACCAGTGGTACACATGAGCTATAAGATCGTGAGGGAACAGATGTCGTAAGAACCCATTGATGGTCACTGGCTACCATGAAACTTCGTCTGCTGACATTGCCCTACTCGCTTGTGGAATAGACCTCCGAGTCGAAGATGGTTCCCGAAACGGACTGCCTGTTTCGGTTTTTTTTTAGCTCGGTCGGTATCTCATCCTACACACAATTAATAATAGTTACGACTGAAGAAAATCGTGCTAGCTCCAATCTTCATTTTCATAACATATACTCCCAACTGTTTGGTAACTTGTTTTATCTAACATTTCTTCGCTTATTTATTCCCTTTTATTTCCATTTTGTGCATATGCCGTGTTTTCCCTCAGATGTAGAGGTCTTCATAATCCAGTCGAGTACCAGAAGAAAGAGGAAGGGAGAGAGTAGACAACCTTGCCTGACTCCGGTTCTCACTTGAAATGAGTCTGTCAGCTGTCCTCCATGCACTACTTTGCACTGTAGCCCGTCGTATGAGTTACGGATAATATTGACAATCTTCTCAGGAACTCCGTAATGTCGAAGAATTTTCCATAACCTTCTCCTATCTACACTGTCAAATGCCTTTTCATAATCAATAAAGTTGTTGTACAGTGACGAGTTCCACTCGATGGATTGCTCGACGATGATCCGTAGTGTCACAATTTGGTCTGTGCACGACCGGTCCTTACGGAATACAGCTTGTTGATCTCGAAGTTGAGCGTCTACTGTGTCTTTCATCCTGTTCAGTAACACTCTGTTAAAGACTTTTCCTGGTATTGACAGTAGTGTGATGCCTCTGTAATTTTCACACTTGCTCAGATCTCCTTTCTTTGGAATCTTGATGAGGTGTTCTTCCTTCCAGTCCATCGGCACTTGTTCCTCTTCCCAAATCTTCTTGAATAGAAGACGAAGAATGTTAGTAGTTACTTCAATGTCTGAATTCAGTGCATTAGCTGGTATATTGTCGGGTCCTGCTGCTTTCCCGCTTTTGATTTGTCTGATGGCCATTCTGATTTCTTCCGTCGTTGGTGGATTGACATCTATAGGAAGATATGTGTGTGCTGCTTCGATGTCCGGTGGATTCATTGGCGCCGGCTTATTCAGGATTTCCTCGAAGTACTCTGCCCATCTGTTCCGCTGTTGTTGAAACTCAGTGATTGACCTGCCTTCTTTGTCTTTGACTAGTTTCTCTGGTTTACTGCTTTTCTTTGTTGTATCGTAAAGCTGTTTCATATTTCCTTCTCTTACAGCTTTCTCCGCCGTCGTTGCTAGTTCTTCCACGTATTTCTGCTTGTCGGCTCTAATGCTCCTCCTCACTTGCTTGTTTGCTTCTATGTATTCAACTTGTGCTTGGACTTTTTCTGCTCGTGTTGGACTGTTGTTAATTGTTGTCTTCTTGTTCTTCCTTTCTTTGATCCTGTCCACTGTTTCTATAGAGATCCATTCCTTGTGATGATGTTTCTTGGGGCCCAGAACCTCTTGACGCGTTTAAGTTAATGCTTCTTTGATACCTTTCCAGTTATCCTCCATAGTAGTTTCTTCTTCCTTCAGTAGATCCTGTAGGGCTTGGAACCTGTTGTTGATGTTGTGAGGCAGAACACTGATGAGGACAACCGAATTATATTTAGCTCAAATTACAGAGTTAATTGGTAAAATAGAAAAACCATATATTAAATCGTTAATTTGCAAAATATTAATCCTTCATATTAAACTGAACTGTTCCTGTTTCAAATATCAATCCATTGACTGACATTTCATTGTTCATGTTTTTCCATACAAATTCCATTGTGTTGCCGCTCTTCCTCTCTTGATTTTTCCCCATCTTCTGCAGCCAGCCATTACGTTTGAAACTCGCGTTATATACTACTTATTATCTCAATATAAGTAGCGCGCACCACACTCCTCCCCCCTTTTAATAAGCTGTCGTCGTAGTCTTTCTGATCGCCGTACGCCTGTCTTCCTTGGTGTTTTTCGCGACTCACACATTTGGCGATCTTGAAACCATCTCTGCAATTGACTAGCATTTACGCGCTTCTGCTTGTCTTCTCTCCGGATTGTGTAAACCGCGCCGCGTCTCTCCGTGATGACGTACGGTCCTTCCCACTTTGGGATCAGCTTTCCCGACCCTGATCCCCCTGTCATGCTACTTTTCCGTTCTCTACACTTTACTAGGTCCCCCACTGCAAAAGGTTTCCACATTCTCCTCTGTTGTTCCGCCTTCTTTATGTCTGATATTTGCTTCTTTTCCACGTTCCTGATTGCCTCCCTCCTCTCTTTTCTTAACCTTGTTGTCGTCCATTTCTGTTGTTGTGGCCAGGTCTTGTTGTGCATTGGAAGTCGTGGTTGTCTGCCATACATGAGCAAAAAAGGTGATTTCTTGGTTGTTCCTTGTATGGAGGAACGATGCGCCAGCAAAATCAATGGTAACTCTTTCTCCCAATCTCCTCCTTTAGATGCTAACCATTCCTTTAATGTCCGGTTGTTTCTCTCTGTAAGCCCGTTTGTCTGAGGATGATACGGTGTAGTTCGTATCCTCTTGATGCCAAACTGCTTTAGACGGGCTTTAAACTCGTCACTTTCAAAACAGGGACCCTGGTCAGTTAATATCATCTTCGGTATTCCGTGACACGCTACAATATGCCGGATTACCACTTCGGTCACTGTTCTTGCCCGCTGGTCTGCAATGGGTACGGCATCTACCCAACGTGTAGCATGCTCCGTCATCACTAGCAGGTACTGATTACCGCTCGCCGTCTGTGGGAACGGTCCCATCACATCCACCGACCATAGATCACCGACTGCGGTTACTGGGATTGACTGTAATGGCGGTTGTGTGTATCGATCGCTTTTCATTAGTTGACACTGCTGGCAAGTTAACACGTATTGAGCCACATCGTCTCTCATGCCCGGCCAGTATGCACTTTGTCGTAGTAAGTCCGTCGTTCTTGCGATGCCTGTATGTGCTACCTGGTGACACTCGTGTATCATCTTACGCCGCCAGTCTTTCGGAATTACAGCCACCCAATTCTTGTCATCGTCCTGCCAGGTCAGGACTCCATATGCGTTCAATCTCAGTCGTTCCTTTTGCCGAAGTAGCATTTGTACCTCCTTGTCCATTGTTCGTTTTTCTACGTCTGCTCCCTCTTTCATCACTCTGATTACATCTCGAAGGCTAGGGTCAGATTTCTGCTGCCGGACGAGTTCTAATGGGTCTCCCTCTAAACTATTCACCGCGTATGCTGTCAAAGGAAGGTCAGCTTCCATGTCTGGTCTTGACAAGTAATCCGCCATTACGTTTTCCTTTCCTGGAACATGGCCGATACTGAAGTCGTATTCTTGCAAACGTATCATCCATCGCGCCAACTTCCCTCGGGGGTCTCTTGCTGTTTTCAACCACTGCAAGGGTTTATGGTCAGTCTCAATGTGAAATCGTCTTCCTAACAGATACGGTCTCCATTTTCCCACTGCCCAAACTATTGCCAGGCACTCCTTTTCGATCGTTGAATACTTCTGCTCAGCGGGTGTGAGGACGCGACTTGCATATTCCACCACTCTATCAGCCTGACTCAATACAGCACCTATACCATGATCACTTGCATCTGTGGCCACTGTAAATAGTTTCCCGGGTTCAGGCAGTCGCAGCGTCATCTGACGATCGTCTAGCATGTTTTTGATTCGGTTGAAGGTTTGGTCGGCAGTCTCAGTCCACGTAAACTTGGTGTTGCTCAGCAACTTATATAAGGGTGCTGCTATTTCGTTGAAATTCTTGACAAACCGACTATAGAACGCCGCTCTTCCCAGGAACTGTCTCAACTTCCTTTTCGAATTAGGTACTGCAATATTTTTTATGGTAATAATTTTCTCCGGCAATGGTTTTATTTCTCCATTTCCCACTTTATGTCCCAACAATGTGACGCTGTTTTTCGCTATCTGCGACTTTTCCTTATTAATTCGAAGTCCAAATTCATCAATTCGCTTTAAGATTGCTTCCACATGCTTGACGTGATCTGTTTCTGTCAGACTGTATACAACTACATCGTCGCCATATACCTCGACATTATCTAGATTCTTGAGCAGTAGCGTCATTAGTCTTCTGAACGTAAACGGTGCACCCGCCAACCCGAACGGCATTCGTTTAAATTGGTATTGTTTATCACGTACAGTAAATGCTGTCTTGCTGCGATCGCTATCTTTTATAGGTAATTGCCAATAACCTGACCGTAAATCCAGCACTGTAAACACCGTGGCATTCTGTAGCCGATCTAATGTTTCCACCACTGTTGGCATTGCACAAGGTTTTAGGTCTGTTATATTATTCAGTTCTCTAAAGTCGACACAAAATCTATACTTTCCGTTGGGTTTCTTTACCAAGAGTACCGGTGAGCTATATGGGCTGTCCGCTTCCTCAATTATACCTTCTTTCAACATTTCCTGCACCTGTCGATTTACCTCGGCCTCTAAATGCACCGGGACACGACGTGTTGCAAATATATTTACTCGGTCGTTTTTTATCGGGATTTCATGCTTTACTTTGTCACAAAATCCATATGGCTCCCCATCTCCAGTGAACAGTTTCGCATACTTTTTGCATAACTCGTTAATGTTTGGTTTCTCCGTCGAGACGTCCGTTCCCACTCTTATTTCAGCCACTTCGCTACTTTCGTGTATTGGCAATGAACCATACTTTGTGACCACCTTACCGCTTCTTAAGTCAATGATCGCTTTTACTTCTCTTAGGAAATCTGCTCCTAATATCGGTCTCGATAAGCTTGTGGTTACCACCAACGGAAAATTTATCTCAGCTCCACCCACTTTTACAATACTGTTAGATACCCCCAACACCTCTAACATGTGCCCTCCTATAGTGTGGACAGCTAATGTACATGGCTTGATTGTCTTACATTGCTCTTTGCCTATTAACGATACCGCTGCTCCTGTATCGATTAGACACACTAAATCCCGTTCATCTGTATTCACTCTCGTATAAACTGCCCCTCTATCTACTAATGCAACAACCCCCAGATTCCTAGGGTAGAAAGAACACACGTTATATCGTCTAAAATATCTACGTCGTCGTCTTGTCGGACAGTTTGCCTTCCAATGTCCTGTCCCTCCACAAGCGTAACATTTATCGTTTCTTTTATTATTTACTCGTAATGCTGCAATCTCACGCTCTAGCTGTTCAATCTTCTTCTCGACACCAATCGTCTCCTGCTTTCCGTACCCAACTGGAGCTACTGTTCGTGTCAACAGCTGACGAGTCACCTTCGCCAGTTCACAGACATCCATAGGTTGTGCTGCGTTTACTAACTTCAGCTGCTGAGAGACGGTGACAGGGACACTCTCCATAAACTGGGACGCCAGCAACTGTGCTTCCGACTCCTCATCCAGGTTTGGCAGCGCGCGGCGTAACAACCTGGTGAGCTCCACAGCCAGCACCAGTGGGTCACCATCGGGAGACAACCTCGCCGACCGGAACTTCTGCAGTGCTTCCTCCCTGTCCACTGGGCTGTCGAACTCCGCCACCAACCGTTCCGTAACTGCCCCCCACGTGTTCTTCCCGCCAGCACCGTCCATGCTGTCATATACAGCCTTCGCCCTACCTCTCAGCAGCGTCCCCAGGACCACCAACTTCGCCTTCGGCTCCTTCACACCCAACAGCTCCGCCACGGCCTCAAACTCCTTCAGGAAGCTCAGCACATCTCCGTCCTCAAACTCCTTCGGCCATGGGATCTTCATCGTCAGTGGAGGCAGCGACACCAAATGTTGTGAGGCAGAACACTGATGAGGACAACCGAATTATATTTAGCCCAAATTACAGAGTTAATTGGTAAAATAGAAAAACCATATATTAAATCGTTAATTTGCAAAATATTAATCCTTCATATTAAACTGAACTGTTCCTGTTTCAAATATCAATCCATTGACTGACATTTCATTGTTCATGTTTTTCCATACAAATTCCATTGTGTTGCCGCTCTTCCTCTCTTGATTTTTCCCCATCTTCTGCAGCCAGCCATTACGTTTGAAACTCGCGTTATATACTACTTATTATCTCAATATAAGTAGCGCGCACCACATTGAGAACTATCTTGAATTTATTGAGTTTGTCGGTATCTCGAAGAAAGGCTGTATTGAACCATTGTAACGCTGTTTGTCCAGTTCTTCTTTAGCTTCAGTTTTAAATTGGCCACAACTAGGTGGTGATCTGAAGTTATGTCAACTCCCCTCCTGTTTCTCACTTATTCCATTGTCCTTCGGAACTTTTTATTGATGCAAATGTGATCCATCTGATTCTCTGTGGTGTGGTCCGGTGAGATCCATGTAGCTTTGTATATACGTTTGTGTGGAAATATTGTGCCGCCTATGACCAATTTGTTGAATGCACACAGATTTACAAACCTTTCCCCGTTTTCCTTCCTCTCTCCCAGTCCATGTCGTCCCATGTTATCTTCATATCCGGTGTTGTCTATTCCGACTTTGGCGTTTAGATCTCCCATCACGATGGTGAGATCCTTTCTTCGGCACTTCTCTATGATTAACTGCAGCCTCTCCTAGCATTGATTTTTAATGTCGTCGTTGCTATCATTGATGGGTGCATAACATTGGATAATATTCAATGTCATCGTTTTCTTCTTTGTTTTGAATGATGCTTTGACGATTCTAGATCCGTGAGATTCCCATCCTACAAGTGCATTTTGTGCTACTTTGGACAGCATTAGAGCAACTCCCTGAGTGTGTGGGGCATTTTCCTCTTCGTGATCGGAGTATAACGGCATCTCTCCCGTATTTAGCCTTTGTTGTCCAGCTTGGGTCCAATGGGTTTCGCTGAATCCGAGTACTGCTAAGTTGTATCTCCTCATTTCCGTTGCTATTTGACTGGTCTTCCCGGTCTCCCACATTGTCCGGACGTTCCATGTACCTATAAAAATTTTTGTTCTGGTTGTTAGAAGGGGCATCGGCCTCATGGCTTTAGAAGGAACTCAGCTTTCACCATGAGGCTTCATATTTCTTCTAAATGAAGACCTTCCAACTCACAGGGCAGAGTTTAAATGGTTTGAGTTATTTTTTCTGGTTAGCGTTTTTTTAGCGAGTTAGTTTTCTACGGGATGGGGACGCTAACCCCATGCCCAACCCTCCTCCTTTATCCGGGCTTGGGACCGGCAGTAACTCTAGGAGAGCTACAGGCGGAGTTGATCGCTACTACCAAATACGAATTTTAAACTAGCCTTTCTAAAACCATGTATGCCATTCAAACTCCTCTTCTTTAATGTTCGCACAATCATGCAGATCGGACACTAAATAACGCTGGCGATGACTTCAGAAAGTCTTAACATCGATGTCTGTTGTCTGTCCGATGGTGGTATTCAGGACTCGTGAGGTGCCGTACATTCGTTTATATTCGGGTAGCACTGATCAATCGGATCCCCATTAACAGTTGGTTATGTTCTGTTAGATTGCCAATTTCCATCAAAGTGCGAAGAAATCGGTGTAAAAAACGATGTCTTTTCGTCATCTCTGATTACGACTGGACACATTGCAACCCGGATGCAGTCAAGGATAATTCTTACCACCAGTTAACTGTTCTTCACCAGAAAGTGCGTCCGACAGATATTGTAGTATGTCCTTATTTTTCTTGTATTCCAAAACGTAAAATTTACGAAGACACTCAGTAAATGTTCACAAGCCCAGAACAAATTACTTATCAGCTATATATCGACTTTCCCATCGAATCATCAACGAGTGGAATTCATTACCTCAACACGTGGCTGAAGCTCCATCTGTCGACACTATCAAAAGAAAGTTGGATCAACTGAGAGACTATCATTGCCAGGACAAACACAGGTCATCTAGTCTCTAGTCCTTTCTAAATTAAAAAGGAAATCGGTGTGAGAAACGATGTCTTTTCGTCATCTCTGATTACGACTCGACACATTGCAACCCGGATGCAGTCAAGGATAATTCCTACCAGCGGTTAACTGTTCTTCACCAGAAAGTGCGTCCGACAGATATTGTAGTACTGGCCGGAGATTTGAACGCTCAGGTCCGGCGTCTTGGCACAGAAGGAGGATGTCTGGGTGGCCGATGGGGACTTATAGATCGCAGGTCAGATAACGGTGACCATCTACTGCGCAGTCTACAACCTGTTCCTAGCTAGTACTAACCATCGACATGGTCAACGCCGACGTGCTTCCTGGTTTCCTCCTGAATCTCAAACTTGGACTCAGGATGATCACATCGCGACCAGCTACCACTGGCGTGGTTGTGTACAAGACTGTTTCTTTTCTGGAGTAACTATACGGACTCTGATCATACCCCTTTTCGCACTAATCTTATCTTACATTTCACTGGCCAAGAAATTGATCACGCCTAACAGATTGATGTCAGCAAATTGGTTGCAGCTTCTGTTGCAAGTAAATATCAAACCGAACTAGTTTCAAGGCTAAATAACAGCCCACCGGGAAGTTTGAATGAGTATTGGCTGCAATCTTATGATGCCATGAAAATGGCGAGCAAAGTCACTTGTAGCCTCGCGAAACGTCTCACCCATAAGCACTGGTTTTCTGCAGGCTCCTTACAGTTCATTGGAGCACTATATTTCACTCCGAGTAACCGCAAGTCTGACAATAAATGTAGATTCTTAATTAAGGAAATTTTCCAACGTTTGCGTAAGGACCGAGAAGCCTGGTGGTCTGAGCGTGCTATAGAGTTGAAAGGAGAAGTTGCATCTGCCTGAAGCTCTTTCAACTCAGTCGAGTCACTGGCAGCAAGAAGTCTGCTGTGAGAGAAACAATCTGTTAAGCTGACAGGGTGCCAATCAATAACATCTACCAAATGTTTTTGTCTTACCTGACATTAAATAACCTCTCTCCATTGTTTCATTCAAACAGTGGGTTGATACAGGTCTGTTCAGTCTCACCATTCTTCAGTTTTACCATTCATAACGTTCGAAAAATAGCTCTAATAGATGTAGATAATGGTGGTGTGGATCTGTTGTCTGATTGTGTAGTGGTTTCTTACTGTGCAATGATATCTAAGCAATGCAATCCGAATTTCATTCAGTTGATAGTCAGTGTCCGTAGGTATAGCATGTCCTTTCTCCTAAGTGCAAAGTACTTTAACAAGATTGGGGGAAACTTGTAGCTGAACTCAATCATTGTAATGAGCACTTGGAAGTAGTCGAAATGTTCATGTATATCGGCAGCTGTTTAAGTGCTGGTGGTAGCGTGAGTGATCAGACCGATTTGCGTATAGGGAAAACCAAGGCGGCTTATGTCAATCTGAGCGATCTTTGGCACCTCTGCGATGTTAATCTGGTGACGACCTTCTGCTTAAAAAACTGCCTGAGTTTTTTTACAATAGTGCGAGTGTTACAACGTCATGGAATGAGTCGAAAATGATCCCGATCAAAACCGAAGGCTGACTCCACCTATGCCCCGACAGATTATTATTATTATTATTATAAGCTTTATTCAACATTATATTTTTGGTACAATATTGAATTCTCAGCATAAAGTATTTCAACAAGTTTCCTTTTCTTATATCTTGATCGATCCTGACGATAAATATTGAGTGATGGCCAGTTAGATGTTAGGAGTTCGATAATCAACATCTGAATAATGTTCATTCGTTTCAATGCATATTGCAAGCCACCATGATGTCGCTCGTTGTAGCTTTTTTGTAATCCGTACAGCGAAAGGTTGTAAACTTTTCATAAACTCGCCTGAATAGGTTGTGAGCCCAATAGACATAATAATGTGTTAAAACAAACAAGAAATCAGATAACTTGACGAAATATCTAGATGGGAGGAACAGGTAGCCCAGATATTCAAGCAGGCCGCCGATAGCTATTGCAGTCCGGATGCAATCAAGGATGAGTTCTACCACCAGTTAACTGTTCTTCTCCAGAAAGTGCGTTCGACAGATATTGTAGTACTATCCGGAGACTTGAATGCTCAGGTCGCGTGTCTAGACGCAGAAGAGCTATGTTTTGGTGGCCGATGGGAACTTGTTGGTCGCAGGACAGATAACGGGGACCGCTTATTGCAACTGTGCACAGACCACAACCTGTTTTCGGCTAGCACTAACTTCCGGCACAGTCATCGTCGATGTGCCACCTGGCATCCTCCCTCTGCATCTCAAGCCTGGACTCAGATTGATCACATCGCGATCAGCTACCGCTGGCGTGGTTGTGTACAAGCCCAACACACACACACACAACAATTTCTGTTTATCACCCTCTATGCTAATATTTTGAGTTTATTTGTAAGGTGTGGTAGGTCACTTCGAATACTCCAATTGATTGTCCAGGTTGATTAAATAATTGAGGACAGCACATACTTTCTTGTACATTAAAACTTAAAGAAATTAATCCTATGAGAGAAATAATATTGTGAATAAATAATTGGGTGAAATAAATTACTCTTTAATTATTTCTTAATCAAGGCTCTATACCAATACATATGTTTTATAAGTGAGTAGAAAGTCGATACCAATTAGACGGCGAGTCAGTTCGAAAAAAATGTAATCAGTTAATTACACAACGTTTGGAAAATTAAGACTCAAATTAAAGAGGATTTTCATAATTGGACAATTATTACAAATTATTGCATGATTAAAATTAGATGTAAATACAAATGTTTCTTGTTATCTGTGAAATTATTGACGAGTGCAGTTAAAATTAGGTAATATGATTAATAAACAGGTTACTCAAGATTAGAATTTAAAATTAACAAAATCAGTTTAAAAAATTTCAAGAGAAGGGAAAGTAAGGTTTTGAAACATCATGTAATGGCATCTAATTAGAAGGCCAGGGTGGATTTTAAGGTTGTATAATCTATTACTGTATACAAAGGTGTGTATTCCTATAGCTTTTGCTATATGTAAGAGTGAGATTCTAGAACCACAGGGTCAATTCTTTGGGATTTTATAACTTTGAACTCTGATGTGACCGGTATCGATTAGATGCACCAAAATAGAGCTTCTTATTACTTTTTTTGTTCTTTGGTCAACCATGAAGGGTAATGTTCAGAAATACGATTATGTATTTGTCTAGTTTTGCATCCAATAGCACCACAGGAGCAGTTGAAATTATTAATGCACACAGAGCTAGAGGAACTAGGCAATTTATCCCTATTTCATGAAAGAAAGTAGGACGTAATCTTGCCGCATTGAATGCATGTCTTATAGCTTTTCTATACGTCGAGTTACTGTTTCACTGGTTATATCACATTTGGGATCTCAAGGATATAGTTCTTTTGGTACCGTCGATGATTGTACTTTAGATTTAATGGCAGTCATATTTTTCATCAAGTACTTTGAAGAGTATCTGTGCTTACTTAATATATCCTGAAGAGATAATTGGCATAAGGTCTATTTCAGTCTCGGCTTTTCGTAAGTCTGCATCTCCTGATTTTGCCTCACTATATTTATTTGAACAAACAAATATTGGTACAAAGGGGCACCGAATACATACGCACAAGTCACTTGATTTATGTGTGAGCTATGCTACTGCTCGGGTTCAAAACGAAGATGGTTTCCTTTGGGGTTGGGGGCACACCAGGAGCCCTCAACCTGAAAATGTCTTGTCCACAAGGCAGTGGAGCAACGTCAGCGAATGTGCTATGTCTTGACAAGAATAATGAATGGTAATTTCGGGATCCATTTGTGGACCAATACTAAACGTATATTTTTACCGTATAATTGTTAATTAACTAAACTATTCATATTCATGTTCCTCTTATTATAAGTTTATTCTGACCTACGAACCATTATCATACGTTTTACCATTCTTGAATTATTCCCTGTTTATTAGTCACTGCCTCCTACATTCACAGCCACATTTGGCCAAAATTTGTACAAAAGTTATTTCCTATTTTATGCTACGTTGTAGTCTGTTTGATTGGTATATAAACTCAGTATGTTTGAAATATAACGATTCATATCGCAGAAGCTGAGACTGGCGTTCTGGACTTAACTGGCTGGGCTAGGCGGAAAGCAGGGCCAATCAGAACTCTAGGCTGTTCTCACGTGTTTTGCGCGTCCTTCGTCCGATCGATAATTCACTGCCCCTCTACCCGGCGGCCCTCAATATATAACAAAACGCAATCACACGGTAATCGGGGACCAACGATTGGTTCACATACCATTTGTTGTTAAAACATCATGGAGCACACGTGCACCATTGGTTTGGAATCATGGTTTTCAAACTCCCCTAGGTGGACTCCACCAGCCCGGTTAAAGCGCCGGACACTCACATTTTGTCCTCTCAATTCCGTAAACAATATCCCTATCGCGAGAAGGCAGTGTGTAGGGATTCCGTGGCAGTAGTTGTATGCATGTGGCCATGTGTGAGCTTTTCGAGAGGGAGAGCTGACTCTCTCCACTCTTGGCCGTACCAGGGCATTTGGTGGGCTTGTATATTTTTAGATCATAAGCTCGGGGAGTAGTTTCTTACCTGAGCTTCCGGACCGACCGCATTTATTAGCCCAGTAGAGCTTACCGGTGAATCATACACCTTCCTTTGTATTTGAAGAAGCCATTTCTAATTAGTTCAATATTTTCATTATCGATTCGGTGTTTGCCACTGTTTATATATTTTGTTGTTGTTGATGTATGTTTTTAAGCTCTACATGCGTACGAAGTGCTCTTGTGTAACATTTATTTATTTGAACACATAAATATTGGTACAAGGGGGCACCAAATATATATGCGCCACACTTGTGCCCCTACTCACTGCGTTCTCGTGGCGGGGCGGTTGTCTACGAAAATGAGAGGACGAAAAGCGAATGTCCGGCGCTTTAACCGGATCCCGAATCAATAGTGCACATGGGCTCCAGTATCCTGCGGGAACAAATGGCGTATGAACTAATTTCTTGGTCACCGCCTTCCATGGGTCTGCATCTCCTCACGATGCTCCACTACCTTGTGTTCAGATCTTTAGGTCAGAGGCTCGGAGTGTGGTCCCCTAAGAAAACCACCTGCTTCGGTCTGAGCACCCGGTCAGTCTCTCAGCCCACACACTAAAACATGATGAACTATTTACTTACTGGTGTAACATAGATTTTCGTTGGAACGTGTTAAGTTTGGCTTCCTATTTAGTAAATAATTAGTGTCAATTAATGGTGCACTGTATCACATTTTTTGTTCATCTAACAGGGACTCGATTTTGACTGTCCTCTTACAAAACGCTGCTTCACTTGTCATTCTTTGACTGGACTAGAGTTTAGCAAATTTCAATTGGAATCGTTAAAACAACCTTCAAATTGTAAGTACCTCTTAATGTTTTATATAGCAAGGTAAAAAATTCGAAAATTTTATTTTATGCTATTGATTACAGTGCTTATACGCTATGCACTGTTGTTTTTAAACAGTTTCTTGGAGTTTTCAATACTTCCTCTTATTCCCTTTTCAGGTAATTCTAGAACAAATTCGCTTAAATAAAACACGCGTTCCGCGATCTCGTAATAAAAAGGACAGGAATGGGGCATAAGTTAAAGATAATATTTTGTTAGTTAAAGTTGAAAACTGTAAATGACTGGTGATTAAGATTTCATTTGTTTGTTGCAGAGTTTAGAGATCCTGGCTTCTCATAATGCTAATAGATTTCAGAAAAGAGAAAAGCAGTCGTTTCATATGTTGTGATACTTGCTAAGAACTACTTCGAAGGTTATCATGGTATTTAATAAACTGATACTTCGTCCATATCAGACTTAATTGTGAATTCATCCAAGATGAGATAATATGTCGTTACGTTTTATAAAATTTGATAGATACACTGATCTTTTATCGAAGTTATAAACTCGTAAGACATATTACATATCATAAATTAGAGAACGTCCTTCATTTGATTGTTCACTTCTGTATAAAGTATCATGAAGTTAGACATATTAAGTCATAAGAATCAGTCTGAAATTACCTTCGAAAATCACTCACGTCCATGTTGGTAGAACCTATCGAATGTCAGTACCGTCTATTTTGTATCTTACAACCTGTTTTTCACTCACTATATCAAGTGAAAAGACTGTATACCACCTGAACTGTAATGATTGAAACCGTCTCACGATTGCGGTGTTAAAATTAGAGGGAATTCGGGAACTATTGAGAAAAAAACAACACTGGCCACTTTGTTATTTAGGGTCCTTAAACACTGTGATAAAATTCTAAATTACTAAGTATTATGTAATTTGGTCCTGAAAATTGTGGGCTTTACTAAAACTCGCAGTATTGAATAAAGTCGTTATTACTATTTAGTTGTGAAAAAGCTAGTGCGGTCCGGACAAAGACATGACATTGGTTCATGAAAACATTTCAGGCGGATACAACAGATTACAAAAGTCGAATAAAATCATCTACATCAGAGTTATTGTTTCATGAAATCTACGGATACCCAGTGAGTATATCACTCAAAGTGATGTATGATTTAAACCCCAAGTTATTTTCATCCGCGAGTAATTTAACCTGACTGGTACTTTAAAATATCATCTGGAGTTAAAATGACCTTTAGCAAGCTGAAATATTCCACTTATTCTGACCAGTAAATAATAATCAAAGACAAGATAAATCATACAAATTATTTCTTCACTGAGTTCATGCATAATGTAATACATACCTTATTATCGCTTTTGATAAATGTGTTTTTGGAAAGGATTTTGTCGTTGTGCCACTTACCTCATAAAACGACCTGTAATTTGGAAGATATAAAGGAAGAAAGTAAGTATGGTGGCCACTGAGATCAAAAAACAAATAAAGCGCATTGAGACCCATTTTGATTTTTCTCATAGTTTTTTAAGTGAACACTAAGAAATTTCATGCAATTGGTCCCGTTTATGAGTTTGAATAAAGCCAGAACATTGATACAGAATAATTTGAATTCATTATATTTCTTGGTTTCTCATCAGTTGCTTACAACCATATATGTATTGAAAGTTAACATTGAAGTAAGATATAATGTAGAACAATTGACATGGATGAACGAAAAGAATTATAACGAAAATAGTTACCGACAAATTAGTGGTCATTTGGTGTTGGAATTCAAAAACATAAGGAACAGATGGTGTCTGGAGACAAACATGATAGATTGTGTGGTAATTTTAGAGGTTATGAAGGGTGTAAGGTTACTGAGATTAAAAATTGCTAAGATGGGTTACGAAATAATTGAACAGGATTTAAAGAGATTATATAAAAGAATTAAGTGTAGGGGTAGTTTTGGTGTACATTAAATAGGAATTAGTTAAGGAAGACCACATAAAAAAATAATAATGATAATGACAAGAATAATTTACCAATTTAGTGATAAATTTATTACTGTCTCTCTGGATACATAAATCAGGTTTTAGATTTTTTTATTTCTATTATTTTGACAAACCGAAGAGACGCTGCGTTCATTTTGTATTGACTATTTTGAATACGTCACTTACATTCACTTTATGTCTACTATCGAGATGTTTGGCAATTACACTTGTGAAGACTTTAAATAAATAAATAATATATTCGTAATATCCCAATGAGTAGAAGAATGAAATTTTTCTGACGTTTCGTGACTTAGTGTAAGTCACTTCTTCAGAGAATAAATTACCAAATTAAAACTAATCCAAGTTTAAATAGTACAACCGTTGTACTCATTGGGATATTACAAATATATTATTTATTTATTTATTTATAACAATCTACCCAATGCTCAATTTATTCGAAATTGTGAAGACTTTATTATCTTTCAGTGGTAGGTTAAAAAAAATCACTATAATAATTAACCACGGGATAAGTGTCGCATTGAAGGTTTCTTATCCATCAGCAAAGCTGACGACGCTATTTGAAGCAAACTTCTCTATCAGACAAACAAAAATTAACAGATCTTTTCTCAGTACCTCTAACTGCATTTATCATTTTACATGTACGTGCCAAAGCACATATATTAGTAGAACAGAGAAGAGTGCATGTTGGAATTTTTGAACACATTACAAACAACTTGAGACCGAGACACAATGATTCTAAAGAGTGCAATAGCTTTTGAAATGTCAAGTAAATACCGTTATTTGTAATTGTTTATTTCTAACACCCTTCTACTATTTATTTTCACGATTTATTGTTAGCTAAGACTGTGAAAATAGATGGCACAAACCAAGATTCGTCTTCTCAAATTTCCCGAAGAATGCGACGTACAATGAATTCAGCTCAAAATACACTCATCCAGGATGGATCACCCTTACCAGCTTATGGCAGCTGTAAGCACTATCGCAAAAGTTATCGATGGCTGAGGTAAGTCTAATATGCATCCCGTCAATGTTTGCTAGTGTCAAGCGTTTTCAACAACCTTGATTTCTATGCAAGCTTCGGGCTAGAAAAATTCGATCCTCGACCGTTCTCCATTCGTAATTTGTTTTCAGAAGGTACACTGTTGAACAAACAGTGTAGGCATCCATCACCTCGAATTACTTGTAATAAAGCATTTGGGAATCAGCTTGAAAAGTAAATTTGGTGAAAAACCTTTCGATGTCTCATACATTTAAAGTGTATCCGATGTGGCATTTATAGGATAACAATTAGCGTCCGTATGTCTGAAATCCGAAACCTCAACAGTATTGAAAAGTAGTTTCGTGAGCTAGACTTGATAACCAGCTTAACATTTGAAAAGTAATACGCTATATATAGAGGACATGACAGCTTACGTTTGAAACGAATGCTAACAACATAGAAAATTACATCAATCAGTCAGCTGCAACATAGGACCAGGCACATATATGCATCGGTCCAAGTTGCCATACCGCATTAGCACAACAAGATGAACACCGGATTCATAGAAGTAGTTAATTCAGTGGTGGTAATATAGAGAAGAAAGATTGCATATAAAGAGATAGTACAGGAAGAAAGAATTACTTCGCAAAAAGAAAGATATGAAGCGATTTTAATCTCTTAGTTTAAGGGAAGACAGAGAGTGTATACACCTGCGCCATTGTGATCGATTCTGAGCCATGTCACCATGAGTCTCCAACCATTGGTTACGATAATCACACGGACCCCAACCAAGTAGTCTGCATCTACCACCATGGTTCAGACCAGAAGTTAGTGACTTCAAGCACTGATGCCACGTTTTGGTTTGGCCGCCCCTAACTTTCTTCCAATTATCCCTAACACCAGTGAGCATTGCGCGTCGTAGTAATCGGTGTTCAGGCATACGCAACACGTGGCCCAACCATTTCAGTCGATGAAGATTCATAACCTCATCAACTGATTTACCATAATTCCCTAATACCCCACATCTAACCTCACTATTACTTACCCGGTGATCCCAGCAGATGCGAGCAATATTTCTAAGGCATCTGTGGTCAAATACTAGTAACTTACGAGTATCTTCAACTCTTAAAGGCCATGTTTCGCAGCCGTATAGTAGAACTGAACGAACTGCCGCGCAGTATACTCGCCCCTTAATTGATAGACGGATATCTCGCCTTCGTCATATGTGACGTAAGTTGGCAAAAACCAAACAAGCTTTTCGAATCCGTGCTGAGATTTCGTCAGACACCAACCCATTAGGGCTGATCAGACTTCCAAGACAGGTGAAGTTGTCAACGTGTTCGACTACTTCACTCCCTATCCTTAGTTCGTGTGTTGACGCAGGCCAGTCCTGAAGCAACAACTTGCATTTAGAGGGAGAGAAGCGCATACCAAACATTCTGGCATTGTTGCTCAGTGCTACCAAAAGACTCGGCATTTCATCAGCGTCTTCACCAAACAGGACTATGTCATCTGCGTGTTCTAAGTCGATAAGTGGACCTCCTGGTAGGAGATCAATGCCCGAGAATTCAGTCGATGAGAGCGTTATTTCCATCAGTAGATCTATGGTGAAGTTAAACAAAAATGGAGAAAGTGGACAGTCTTGACGGACACCACTTGAGGTTGCAAAAGCAGATGACAGTTTGCCATAAGTTCTGAATCGACTAGTAGTGTTCTAGTAAAGAGCCTTCACAAGGTTTATGTACTTCTGAGGTACGCCTTTCAATGACAGACACTGCCACAGAACCTCTCGTTCTGATCTGATTTGTTTGCGCTCTTCATTGTGTTCAGATCCTGATGTGATAAGTTTACGTAAATCCATCAGTGCAATAGACCTTGAAGAAATCCATTGGTTCTTTGTAACCATGTGGTTTAAATCACTAGCAGATTTCACTGCTGTTTCCACAGCTGATTGTATATATTTCCAAGCAACATCTGGATCAGCATCGTTTTCAGAACTACCTAAGAGTGTGACCTCAGTTGTTCTTGGGACCCACTGTTGCTTTTCTCGTTACTCAATTCAGCTCTAATGGGTCTTTTTAATGTGGCTTTTTTGCGTCCAGTGAGGCGCAAGCATAATATAACGTTCACAAGCTTTATTATTTTGTCTTGAGAGAATAAAAATGTATATAGTTGGCAAAAAACGTGGTCTTATTGACAACAGCATTCACTTAATTTTGTTTTACTTCTAAAAGGTTTCCTTGTTGCGGACGTCTGGAACCATGTGATGTCTGTCATGATAATTCTGCTGTTGATGGACACGAAATGGAACTGGCTACTCGTATGATTTGTGGGTTTTGTTCTAAAGAACAACCATTTTCTACTGGCAAACCATGTGTAAGGTGTGACAAGATGCTATCAGGAACTCGATCTTCACATTGGGAAGGTGGGAAAGGATGTCGTAATCAAGTAACTATGTCTCGAAAAGATTCAAGAAAATATTCTCATGTTAACAAGGTTATATCCAAGAAGAAAATCAAGCAAAATAAATGATCAGTACATATAAAACTGTTTACAGCTCCTTACACGATTCAGCATAAACAAGTATTGCTTCGAAACTCTCATCATATAACAGCAGAGTAGTTGTAAAAATGGAAATTATTCTTTCTAACCTATGGTTCTACAATTAGTCCAAACTATTGTTTAAGGGTAAATACATCTCAAGAAATTATAGGATGCGGATTTAAGATTTGCCTTACATATAACTATTCTTTCGAATTACTAATATAAATTCATTTCTATAAAACCTGATGGTAGTTTTTTTTTAAAAGAATATTTTTCGTCCACGTGTTTCAAATAGCAATTATTATTCACAGCAAGTTAACATTTCCGTGATATTCCAGTACATTTCTTTGTACATTAAACTTAGTGGATTGAGAAAACAGAATCTAGATTATAAGTTTGAAATATCACTTCCCAATGAACATTTATTTTATATTCATATTTAAAAAAAGATGATTGAATTGTCAAAAAGGCTAATTTTCCTGAATATTTTTTATTGTTTCAAACAACCAACTAACTATATTGTCTTATTTCTAATTTCTTTATGTCTAAAAACCTGGGGGTTTTTTACAAGCTTCTTCCAATTCGACACCATGATAATCCCGGTATTTACATAATTATTATGATAAAGCTCTTTTTTATCTCCGAAGATTTAATTTATATAAACAAGTTGTCTTTATAGGAATTCAATGATCTGATTGTTTGATGTCTATAAATTTAGTATTATCTAGTGACATTTGAAACAATGCATCCAAATGAAATGCTCAAATAAAAACTAAAAACATGTCAAGAAGCTCTGCTTAACAATATATTAAAATGTAAAACATTAATGTACAATAATTTAAGCATAAATTCAATAAAAATGATTCATTTCTGCTTTAAGATTGTATATTAAAAGTAAACATTCGGTACCCTAGGTAGTTTAACAGTAAGTTTTGATAAATTTCTACAAATTATTTTACTTAAAAAAATACTTTTCGACTACGTTGTGGCAATTTTAAAGAATGAATATAACATGATGAGTCATTTAATAACTAAAAAAAAAGTTTGCACATGTTTGCAAATCTGTTTCTATAGCATATATGGAATGTACAAGATATGGAGATGTGTAGAATGTTATTTATACGTTGCTTTTCAAAATTGATGGACTGTTTCCGCAAACGAGTGCGTATAAATTACGGAAAGCTGACGCGTGATTGCTGGAAAAAGAGTAATAGAAGAAGATTTATTATTTTAATAATGATACTATTTGACTTTTCTCATTTTGATTAAATTCACAGTAAAAAAAATGAGGTTAGTGATGATTTAAGACGACTACAACTTACAAAATCTATACCAACCATTCGTACACAAATATGCTTTGTGAAAAACACAAAGCATTCTTGGATATAAAATTAACGTCACAGTGTACGCACGTGACACCAAACCATTGCTTTGATATAGGTAGATTCGTATTGTAATTTTTTACAATTCCAAACAAGTAACAGTCGTGCACATTTAAACAACGGGAACATATGTCTGATATCTTACGTTAGAAAGGCTTGTCAATAGACAAAAACGATATAAATTACTTAATAGCATATTAACTCAAGTTACAAGAACTTATTCAGATGAGATGTTCCGGAAGAAACGAGTCAGTCGGTCAGCTGCAACGTAGGACCAGGCACATATATGCATCGGTCCAAGTTGCCATACCGCATTAGCACAACAAGATGAACACCGGATTCATAGAAGTAGTTAATTCAGTGGTGGTAATATAGAGAAGAAAGATTGCATATAAAGAGATAGTACAGGAAGAAAGAATTACTTCGCAAAAAGAAAGATATGAAGCGATTTTAATCTCTTAGTTTAAGGGAAGACAGAGAGTGTATACACCTGCGCCATTGTGATCGATTCTGAGCCATGTCACCATGAGTCTCCAACCATTGGTTACGATAATCACACGGACCCCAACCAAGTAGTCTGCATCTACCACCATGGTTCAGACCAGAAGTTAGTGACTTCAAGCACTGATGCCACGTTTTGGTTTGGCCGCCCCTAACTTTCTTCCAATTATCCCTAACACCAGTGAGCATTGCGCGTCGTAGTAATCGGTGTTCAGGCATACGCAACACGTGGCCCAACCATTTCAGTCGATGAAGATTCATAACCTCATCAACTGATTTACCATAATTCCCTAATACCCCACATCTAACCTCACTATTACTTACCCGGTGATCCCAGCAGATGCGAGCAATATTTCTAAGGCATCTGTGGTCAAATACTAGTAACTTACGAGTATCTTCAACTCTTAAAGGCCATGTTTCGCAGCCGTATAGTAGAACTGAACGAACTGCCGCGCAGTATACTCGCCCCTTAATTGATAGACGGATATCTCGCCTTCGTCATATGTGACGTAAGTTGGCAAAAACCAAACAAGCTTTTCGAATCCGTGCTGAGATTTCGTCAGACACCAACCCATTAGGGCTGATCAGACTTCCAAGACAGGTGAAGTTGTCAACGTGTTCGACTACTTCACTCCCTATCCTTAGTTCGTGTGTTGACGCAGGCCAGTCCTGAAGCAACAACTTGCATTTAGAGGGAGAGAAGCGCATACCAAACATTCTGGCATTGTTGCTCAGTGCTACCAAAAGACTCGGCATTTCATCAGCGTCTTCACCAAACAGGACTATGTCATCTGCGTGTTCTAAGTCGATAAGTGGACCTCCTGGTAGGAGATCAATGCCCGAGAATTCAGTCGATGAGAGCGTTATTTCCATCAGTAGATCTATGGTGAAGTTAAACAAAAATGGAGAAAGTGGACAGTCTTGACGGACACCACTTGAGGTTGCAAAAGCAGATGACAGTTTGCCATAAGTTCTGAATCGACTAGTAGTGTTCTAGTAAAGAGCCTTCACAAGGTTTATGTACTTCTGAGGTACGCCTTTCAATGACAGACACTGCCACAGAACCTCTCGTTCTGATCTGATTTGTTTGCGCTCTTCATTGTGTTCAGATCCTGATGTGATAAGTTTACGTAAATCCATCAGTGCAATAGACCTTGAAGAAATCCATTGGTTCTTTGTAACCATGTGGTTTAAATCACTAGCAGATTTCACTGCTGTTTCCACAGCTGATTGTATATATTTCCAAGCAACATCTGGATCAGCATCGTTTTCAGAACTACCTAAGAGTGTGACCTCAGTTGTTCTTGGGACCCACTGTTGCTTTTCTCGTTACTCAATTCAGCTCTAATGGGTCTTTTTAATGTGGCTTTTTTGCGTCCAGTGAGGCGCAAGCAGATGCGTGCTCGTACTAAGGCATGGTCGGAGTCCAAGCAGTTACCCCAGAATGAACGACAATCTTCTATTGACCCTCTCCAACGATGAATGATGGCAATATGGTCTATTTGAGTCCATCGTTGGTTTGGTGCAGGAGGTCGCCATGTTAGACGATGTCTCTCCTTATGCTTAAAATTTGTGTTTGCTAAAAATAAACAATTGTCTGAGCACAGTTGCAGCAGACGATCACCATTATCTGTTCTCTGTGCTGGAATACTAAAATACCCACTTAAATGTCTTTCTGTTTCGTTTAAGCTACCTACCTGGGCATTAAAGTCGCCTGCTACGAGTACTATGTCTGAACGTTTAGCTTTCTGAAGAAGTTCAGACAGCTTTCTGTAAAATTCATCTTTCACTTCATCCGAACTGCAGTCAGTGGGAGCGTAAGCAGAAACGACGAAAAGGCAACGACGTGTGTCCCTATCCTTCCGAGTTCTTACCGAGCCGTTTATCCGAACAGCGCATGGACGACTATTAACGGGGATCCACTTTAATAGCGCTTGTTCCGCCCTCATGCTTAGTGCTATGCCTACACCTGCCAGTCCACGAGAACTAGCCATCGGGTCGCCAGATACACGGAGGGTGTATCTCGTCGGCACTCCGTTTTGCCGAGGTGAGGTCAAGTGGATGACCACACTAGGATCCTGTATGCGTGTTTTGGAGACACAGCATACATCAATCGTACGAGATTCTAAGGTTTTAGCCAAGGAAGCCTGCTGACCAATTTGGCATAGTGTGCGTACGTTGAAGGCTCGAATGTATAGTTTGGAGCGAGGTTTCAGTAGACCTGGGACAGTGTTTTGAGCACTAGAATCATTGGCTGTGGTGACACTTGAGGAGGAAGCCGAAAGAGGGATTTTAGATTTGAAAGTCGATGTAAGAGGAATAATAGGAATTGAAGAGGGAGGTTGACTATGAATACAGTGGTCTTGAGTGCTGTTAGAGGTATGAGGGCGGTTATCACTTCCCGGTTGCCCACACCGTGGAAGGGTTCTGCTGGAGGTACCTGAAAAGGAAATTGGGTTAGAGGTGGTCATAGTGACCTGAGAGCGTGACCGCAGTGCCCAAGGGACAGCTGCTTGAAGTCGGTCACACACGACCTTTTTATGAGTAATTTTTGTGTTAGCTCCGTACTTGTTGAGACCTTACCGCCGGAGACGGATATCCATGGGATAAGGCGAGGTGTGCATTTTTAGGGTCGACCTTTTCTAACCCCTCCACTCCTTGTGGGAAGGCAGCATCGCTGTCATGCTGGTTGTCTGAAGGAAACACCTTACTGCTGTCACACCTCTGTACAGTCAGCAGTACGACTTCGCCTTCGGACCTTGGTTTTGTTGCTTTTAGTCTTACCGCTCTTCAACCGACCTGTCTGGCATGGTAGAACCTTGAGGAACGGTTGTTCCAGCCAGTATAGCTCAGTTGCTTCATCACGATAGGCAAGCCCGACCACCACGTCAAGGTAGCAACAACGGTCGGGAGGGAAGAAACGAAAATAATAATTACATTTCGGTAATACTCAGGTGGATGTTATCTGCGAAGTAATTAATTATTAAAAGAAATTCATACAAATGGCTTCGGAAAAAAGTGCAATTGTTAGCAATATAAGCGTATCTCAGAACCTTATTTTTATTTCAAATAATAATCTGTTTTGAAGACATAGTACAGAGAAAATTCGAAAAGTGTATTTCACCTTCTGTTAAAATACACTGTTAATTTACACGATTTAGGAAGGAACGAACAAACAATTATTTAATAAACTTTGAAGGATGCTTTTGTACAGTTACTTAAAGCAACATGAATTTCTCCATAAGAAACAAGTTAATGTAATTTTTAATTTACACACATTGGGAACTTTAGATGAATGCTTGTGATTTAGTTAAATAAAACGTGAAATTTTTCTATATAATGTCATCCTTTTAAAGTATTCTTAGCTGATGCATGGAAAGGAGTAAAACAAATGAGTGTTACATTAACACATTGATGTACGATGTCATGAATATACTTACAATTTCAGCAATACTCTCTGTATTTGTTACTATAATTCGACAAGACATAAAACAGATTAGGTATACGGAAAGCATGACTTCGTTAGTGAAACATACATACATATAGTCGACTAATTCCAATGACGAAAAGGTGCTATCTGACGATCCAGGTAATGCATAAAATATCTGGTTTATAAATGCTTTTTTGTCAAAGGGGGATATTTAAAATCATAGTTGCATCACAAAATCGATTCGCTTAATTAACAGCAAAAAAGACTGATAGATTAACCTAGTGGTATCTCTTTAAATTCCAGTATTATTATTCATAAAAATAGGATAGCGAAAAACCGATAACACTATTTGCTATGAAATGTTTAAGTAGTAACCAAGTTAAAAGTGTAACTAATATGAGAACTAGTTTGTTATTATTATTGATGACACAGAAAATGATATATACTGCAAACGCATTTCCTCAGCAAATGACCACAGACTTACATCGTTTTTGTGAATAGATGATCCGCAAGCAAATTAGGTAGATTTACTTTAAAAATGTTTAAAAGTTCGAGTTCTGTATGGACAGATTCAAGCTCACTCCAAAGGTTTGTAAATAATAATGCTTGTTTCGCGCTGCCGTTGAATACACACATTTGAGGCCATGCCGTTAACGCTAATAAACGGGAAAACGTTCCAGGAGTACTAGAGCAGTTGCCTTCGGTAAATAAAAATGAAAAAAAAAAAGATATATCTAAGCAGACGAATGTTTACTTGAATCAGCAAAACCAAAGAATTGTTACTAATTCTATAAACTGGGACTCTGTTCTTTTATTAAAGTTGAGTGAATAAGGCTACTGAACTTTCCTTTTCTAGCCATATTCTGATAAGTTTCTTCAGTATTATTAGTCTTTTAATCACATAGTTTACATCCATCCACTTTGTACAGCTCTCAGCATTCAGAGTGTTATCGTTAATTCGGGATAAGTGGGTCTTTGATTTTCAAAAAATTTTATTTGGACGCTTACTATTTTACATTATATGTCACGATAACTGACGGAATATCAGCTATTAGAATACGTATCTGTCTGTATTGGACTCATGAAACTAAAATTTGGACTTTAGACTTTCACCTTGTGTTCATAAAGTAGTTAGAAAATATAACGCAATGTATTATAAGTGGAGTTACAGTATCTGTTTTATATTAAAATGTTGCGATCAACTGATCTTATTTACTGCTCAGTATTAAAACAAGATGGAACACTTGATTGTTAAATCGGAAATTAGTATAGTATTTCGATTCGGCACTAGCACATATATTAATGGAAGGTAAATTTCAATTACAGTATATGAATACACTATGTTTAGGCTATAAAAAGAGGTCAACTAGTAACAGCATCTGTACTTATGAGATCGCAGCTGGCTACAACTTTATAAGATTAAATATGATTTCCCTATAGATCCTATATTTCTTCTAAATAGGGGCTATAAAAGCTTAGGATTGCCAAATGTGTTTTCATAATTATCGAGTACATGTATAAATTATAGTCATTACAAACCTGATCATACAAGTTTCTAGGGAACGCGCGCCAACTTTTTCCTACTTTAAATAGGATCATAGGTATATGAAACGCAATTTGGACGTGAAAGCAGTCATTTTCTTACCTATAGTCAGAAACGCTTCATATGGATTTGGAGTAGCAACTAGTTTAACTGAGTGTCTTGAAGCAAACCAGGCACTTATGGGATCATTATGATTGAGAGGATCATTAAGGACATTCGTTGTTGACAAGTCGCTTGACTCAGGGTTCACCTTTGTCAGCAATAATTCCAACAGTTTTAAAATGAGGCTGAATCTTGAAAAAACGCACTGAATCCAATTAATTTCATCTTGACTGACTTTCTGTACATCTAAATACAAATTGGAAATCAAAAGATAACTAGATATTAGAATTCGTGCGAAAATCAATAAGCATTCGTTGACAAAGCAATAATAGGGTTTGCAGAATAAGATGGCTTCTTCTACTTCACGGTTTCTCATTAACTGCATACAGCCTAGAATTACAATTACTAATATGAATATAATTATTAACAAAAGTTTAGCATACTTTAGTTTAAAGTTTAGACAAGTGTTCAA